GCAAGTAATATTCATGCCAAATAAATACCAGGCAATGACTCTCCAACAAGAGACAATCTAACCATTGTTCCTTGACATTCAATGGCATTACCATCACTGAACTCCCCATTAAATACTATCAACATCTTGGGTATTAACCTTGATTGGAAACTGAATTGGACTATCCATATAAATACAGTGGCAACAAAAACAGGACAGTGGTTGGGAAAACTGCAGCAAATAACTCACCTCCTGACTTCCTAACGTCTGTCCACCATCTACAATGCAGGGGTTAGGAGTGTGATGGAATATTCCCCACTTGTCTGGATGAGTGACTTTCCAACAACACACAGCAGTCTGTTTGATTAGCATCACATCCACAAGACCCATTCCCTCTTCCACTGATGCTCAGTAGCTGTGCTGTGTACTATCTACAAGATTCACTGCAGCAATTCATCAAGGCTCCCTAGGTAGTACCTTCCAAACCCATTACCACTACCATCTAGTAAGAACAAGGGCAGCAGATACATTGAAACACCACTGCCTACAAGTTCTCCTCCAAGCCACTTGCCATCCTGATTTGGAATTGTATCGCTGTTCCTTTAGTGTTGCTGGGTCAAAATCCTAGAACTCCCACCCTAAAGCATTTTGGGTCTACCAACAGCACATGGACTGCAGCTCGCCACCACCTTCTCAAGGGCAACCAGGGATGGGCAATAAATGCTGGCCTGGCCAGCAATGCCCACATTCTGTGAATTAATTTTTACAAAATGGTCTGCCCTAGCTGCAGCTGCCTCAGAGTTCAAACAGCTGGAGGCACTTCCGCCACAGATGGTTCCCTCAAGACATGTGAAGCATCCCAAAGTTCCCAAAGGGTGCAGGAATTGCATGCAATAAGTCTCAGCTGCCCATCCTTGATCTTTCCCTGCTGTTTAGAATCTAATTGGTACTTTGATCTAGCCTCCAGCTCTTGGCCTCTCCCTCAAACAGTTCCTAGTTTTGTACACCAGAACAGCATCCCATTGCTCAGTCAAATTCCCTGTATTTGGTACTGCTCTTGACACCTTGATTCAAATATTGTGCACACAGGTGTTTCCTAACTTCAATACTGACTATAACTTGAAAAGCTCAGCAGGTCTGGCAGCATCTGTAATGAAAAAAATCAGAGTTAACATTTCAGGTCCAATGACCCTTCCTTAGACCCTTCTGCTTTTCCAGCAACTTCTGTTTTTGTTCCTGATTTACAGCATCCTCAGTTCTTTTGGTTTTTACTGGCTGTAACTTCTAGGTTTATGCTCTTAATCACAGAATCCCTATCAGTCGAAATAGCTTTTCCGCTTCTTATGCTATCTATTACCCTTAATATCTTTACAACTTAATCAAATCATCCATTAAACATCTAACTTCCAAGGAATACAATCCTATTTCGTGCATGCACTCCTGTAAATTTAATTATTTGAGTTCAGCTGTCATAGATAGATTCATAGATTCATACAGCATGGAAACTGGCCCTTTGGTCCAACGCATCTGCACCCGCCAGACGCTCCAATCTGACCTAATCCCATTTGCCAGCATTTGGCTCATTTCCCTGTAAACCCTTCCAAATGCCTTTTAAATGTGTAATTTTACCCACCTCCACCGCTTCCTCTGACAGCTCATTCCATACACGCACCAACCTCTGGGTGAAGAAGTTACCCCTCAGGTCCTTTTTAAATCTTTCCCCTCTCACCCTAAACCTCTGCCTGTGACTTTGGAATTCCCCACTCTAGGAAAATGACCATGACTATTCACCCTATCCATGACCCTCCAGATTTTATAAACCTCTATAAAGGCACTCCTCAGCATCTGATGCTCCAGGGGAAAAAAAACCCCAACCTATTCAGCCTCTCCCTATAACTCAAACACTCCAGTCCCGGCAGCATCCTTGTAAATCTTTTCTGCACCCTCTCAAATTTAACAACATCTTTCCTATAGAAGAGCGACCAGAAATGTACGCAGTATTCCAAAAGTGGCCTCACCAATGGCCTGTACAGCTGCAACAAGACATCGCAACTCCTATACTCAATGTTCTGACCAACTAAAGTGTTACAATTGCCTTCTTCATCACTATGTTTACCTGCGACTCCGCATTCAAGGAATTATGCACTGCACTCCTAGGTCTATTTGTTTGGCAACATTCCCCAGGGCCCTACCATTAACTGTATAAGTCCTGCCCTGATTTGTCTTTCCAAAATGCAACACCTCGCATTTATCTAAACTAAACTCTTCCTGCCACTCCTTGACCCATTGACCCATCTGGTCAAGGTCCCGTTGTACTCTGAGATAAATCTTCTTCACTGTCCACTATATCACCTATTTTGGTGTCATCTGCAAACTTACCAACCATGTCTCCTATATTCACATCCACATCTTTTTATATAAATGATGAAAAGCAGTGAACCCAGCCCCAATCCTTGTGGCATGCTGCTGGTTGCAGGCCTTCAGTCCAAAAAGCAACTCTCTGTCTCCTACCTTCAAGCCAGGTTTGACTAGTTCCCCCTGAATCCCATGTGATCTATCCTTACTAACCAGACTACCATGCGGAACTTTGTCGAATGCGTTGCTGAAGTTCATATAGACAATGTCTACGACTTTGCCTTCATCAATCTTCTTTGTCACCTCTTCATGAAACTCAATCAAGTTAGTGAGATACGATTTCCCACACACAAACCATGTTGACTATCCCTAAACAGTCCTTGCTGCTCCAAATTCATGTAAATCCTGCCCCTCAGAATCCCGTCCAACAACTTACCCACCACTGACATAAGGCTCACTAATCTGTAGTTCCCCTAACGTTTCCTTACAGGCTTTCTTAAACAATAACATTATATTAGCCAACCTCCAGTCTTCCAGCACCCCACCCATGGCTGTCGATGATACAAATGTCTCAGCAAGGGCCCCAGGAATCTCTTCCCTAGCTTCCCACAAAGTTCTAGGAAACATTGGATCAGGTCCTGGAGATTTATACACCTTTATGCGTTTTAAGACCTTCAGCACCTCCTTCTGTAATATAAACTGTTTTCAAGACATCACTACTTATTTCCCCAAGTTCCTTAGCTTCCATGTCCTCCACAGTAAATACTGACGCAAAATATTTGTTTAGTGTCTCAGCCATCTCCTGTGGTTTCACACATAGATGCCCACATTGGTCTTTAAGGGGCCGTATTCTCTCCCTAGTTACTCTTTTGCCGTTAATATACTAATAATATACTCTGTTTGCCAAAGTTATCACATGTCCCCTTTCTGCCCTTCTGATCTCTCTCTTAAGTATACTCCTGCTGCTGTTAGACTCCTTTAGCGAATCACTCGATCCTTGCTGTGTATACCTGATATATGCCTCCTTTTTTTTGACCAAAGCCTCAATTTCTCCAGTCATCCAGTATTCCCTACATCTAACAGCCTTGCCCTTCACCCTAACAGGAACATAATGTCTCTGATCTCTTGTTATCTCATTTTTAAAGGCCTCCTGCTTCCCAACTGTTCCTTTACCTGCAAATAGCCTCCACCAATCAACTTTGAAAGTTCCTGTCTAATACTGTCAAAATTGGCCTTACTTCAATTTATACCTTTAACTTTTTGATCAATTCTATCCCGTTCCATAAGTATTTTAAAACTAATAGAATTATGAGCACTTGCCCCAAAGTGCTCCCCCACAGACACCTCAGTTACTTGCTCTGCCTTATTTCCCAACAGAAGGTCAAGTATTCCTCCTTCTCTGTTAGATACATCCACATATTGAATAAGAAAGTTTTCTTGTACACACTTAACAGTTTCCTCCCCATTGAAGTCCTTAAAATTATGATAGCCCCAGTCTATGTTTGGAAAGTTAAGATCCACTATCATTACAACTCTATTATTCTCACAGATATCTGAGATCTTCTTATATATTTGCTTCTCAATTTTCCACTGACTAATGGGGGACCTATAATACAATCCCAACAAGGCGATCATCCCTTTCTTATTTCTCATTTCCAGCCTTTTAACTGCACTGGATGTACTCCCTAGAGTATCCTCCCTAAGTACAGCATTAATGTTATCCCTAACTAAAAACGTCACACCCCCTCCTTTCTTGCCTCCCTTTCCACCCTTCATATAGCATCTATACCCCGGAGCATTAAGCTGCTAGTCCTGTCTATCTCTGTGCCACGTTTCTGTAACAGCTATGATATCTCATGTTTCCTGTTCCCAACCATGCCCTCAGTTCATCTATCAGTCTTCTTGCATTGGAATAAATTTGTTGATTTGTTTGATCAGTTGTTGAAGTAAATATTGATCTGGTTGTGGTCTCAGTTGCACTTTCCTTGATTCTCTTGTCTATTAATATCCACTTAACTCAACCTGGAGTCACACCTACCACTATTTTCTGGGAAAGAGAAACCCACAGATTTAACAGAATAAAAATTGAAAGAGCTGCAGATGTTAGAAATCAGTAACACCCTTACAAGACACCCTTGGCATCCAAGACATCTTGATCTTTTGCAGCTGTAAGGTGTTGTTGATGATCTGACTCTGGTCGGTATTTTCTTCAGAGCACAAGGCAGTTGGAATAGTCATTTCCATTAACACATTTGCCATTGATAGCCTGACTGATGAGTGTTGAAGTCACCCATGATTATGGGTTTGTTGGTCTTCAGTGCCCATCTAGGTGAGGCCTAGATCCTCCTGGGAACTTTTTGATTTTTTTTCTGAGTTGCATATGATTGAAACACAGCTGCTGATGTTGGTGGGGTGATGTTTCCCAGGGACTGGCAATCCTCTTTGTCATCAGACAGTCATTACTAACTTTGAGAATGTTATAACATGTCATACAAAACCACCTTTAATCCTGCCAAGGTTCCTCATTAAACTGGTCAAACAGAGTGGTCACCAAATGATAACACCAAGTTTGTTTTACCACTGACCATGTAAACCTTAAGTTTAGTTTTATATTTATTTCATGTTATTTGAGAGAACAACAGACAATAAGTAGTGTTGTTTTGCAGGGATGACTGCAGTGATATGTACTTATCCACTTGACATGATTCGAGCCCGTTTGGCCTTCCAGGTGAAGGGCGAACACAGGTATGCTGGAATCATTGATGCTTTCAGGGTCATTTATACACAGGTGCGTATTGCATCTTTCTATTACACTATATGAGAAATGAGCCTGATGAGCTCTGTTGGAAAATTGAAAGTAGTTAAATGCTGAGGTTCCCTAATATACTGTTAGTAAGTTCAGTTGTCCAGCATTTCAATGACTGAAGTTTTGATCATAGTTTGTAGCTTCTTGGGTGTAAACTTCAATCCCATGGTATAAAAGGATTTTGATTTCGCCCTCATTTTCAATGAACTTTTCCTTAATCTGCCCGTGAGAATGGAAAAAATCCATTTTTTAATAATTTGTGTTCAGGACCCCTTTTTAATGCCAGGTACAATCTTAAACCATGTGAAAGTGCTCCATTACTTCCATTCCAGTTAAACAAAAATATTGGAGGAATGAAAAGATACTGGATCCAATTCCTGTGAGCAAGCTAGCAGTTAATGTAACTATTAAATAGCCACTGCGGTTTTATTCCAGCAAGACCCTGCACACACAGGTCTGGTTTGAAGCTGTAATACCACTCCTGAAAGATTTTACATTGCTGGGAAGGTGGGAAGTTTAAAACTGCAGAGCTTAAGCCAATGTAGCTATTTAAAAAGGCCAAGGTATTCCAGCAGGGCAGCAACAGCTGCATTAATAATGACAGACAGTCACATCCTTTCTAGACTGTCAGGTGCAAGATGCCCCTTATTGTGTGACCTGGACCTCACTGCCAGAGTAACACGCAGCTCGCCATTGGGTTTATAGCAAAGAGCTTCCTTTCTCAGTATTACCCCCTGTTCTCCTTGTCACCCTGGAGCATGACTCCCTGTTTATGTGGTCACTCTGGGAGCACTGTTCCCTGTTCCTGGGATCACACTGGGAGTGCTGCTCTCCTGTTCGTGCACTCACACTGGGAGTGTGGTCCCCTGTTTGTATGATTTTGTGTGTCTGCAGTCAGTCTTCCACCACCACACTCCCACCTCGAGCTGACTCAATGGTTCACGCACACTCCATGCTATCAGGCCATGTTTATCCAAATTTTGCTTTCTAATTTGTGTTTTCTAGTGTCATTCATATTTGATTGCTGTTCTAGATGTGCATTTGCATTAGGTTCAGTGTCATTTATTCACTTTATGTTGCTCCCTTTTTCTTTTTCTCTACCTTTCCCAGGGCCTGTCTATGCTTTCTTTCATATCTCCTTTCTTGGGTACTCTGCCCTATTAGTTCCAGACTTTCCATTCTGTTTTTGTTCATTCAGGATGTGGACAACACTGGCTTGGCCAGCAATTTTTCCTGTCACTAATCGCTCTTTGGTAGATTGTGGTGAGCTGCTCTCTGTGTGATACACGTGGACCCACAATGCTATTTGGGACCAAGTTCCAAGATTTTTGACCCAGCAACACTAAAGGAATGACAATATATTTCCAAGTCAGGATGGTGTGTGTTTGGAGGGGAATTTTCAGGTGTTGGCCTTCCTATATATCTGCTGCCCTTGTTTGGCCAGATAGCATGGAGCGTGTGTGAATCATTGAGGCAGCTCGAGATGGGGGTGTAGTGGTGGAAGACTAACTGCAGACACACGCAATCATACAAACAGGGGACCACACTCCCAGTGTGAGTGCACAATCTGTAAAGTTCTGTGTCACTGCAGAATTGTCGGTCTGTACCTGTTGTTTGCCCTCAATTTAAATGGCTAGTCAGTTCAGTTTCTGGTACCCAACCCTTAGGAAGTTGATAGTGGGTTTGAGGAACTCTAATGCCATTAAATGCCAGGATCCAATGGTTGGATTCTTTCTTGTTTGAGATGTTCATTGTCTGGAAATTGTGTGGTATGAATGTTTCTTGCTACTTATCAGTCCAAGCCTGGATATTGTCCATGTTCAGTTGCATTTGGACATGAATTGCTTCAGTACCTGACGAATCATAAATGGTGCTGAATAATTAGCAATCATTGATGAACATCCCCATTTCTGACCGTATGATAGAGGGAATGTTGTTGATGAAGCAGCTGAAGATGGTTGGGCATCAGACACTACACTGAGGAACTCCTGCAGAGATGCCCTGGAGCTGAGATGACTGACCTCCAACAACCGTGACATCTTCCTTTGTGCTAGTTATAACTTTGACCAAGAGAGAGTTTCCTCCTAATTCCCATTGACTGCAGTTTTCCTTGGGCTCCTTTATGTTGCACTTTGTCAAATACAGCCTTGATGTCAAGGGCACTTGGCCTCACTTCCTTTCTTCAATTTATCTATTTTGTTCATGTTTGGACCAAGGCTGTAATGAGGTCAGAAACTGGGTGGCCCTGGTAGAACCCAAACTAAGCATCAGTGTGCAGGTCATTGCTGAGCAAGTGTTTCTTGATAGCACTATCGGTGACACCAGCATCACTTTGCTTATGATTGAGAGTGGACTGATGGGCAGTAATGAGCCAGGTTTGGCATGTCCTGCTTTTTGTACACAGGCCATATCGGGGTAATTTTCCACAGTGTTGTAAATTTCTTGGAATGGCTTGGCAAGGAGTGTGACTAGTTTTGGAACTCGGGTCTCTAGTACAATTTAGAGGGTGTCAGGACTCATAGCCTTTGCAAAATCCAGTGCCATCAGCTGTTTCTTTTATATCATGTAGCAAGGATGATATACATTATTATTTTGGGAATACAAACTGATAAATGGAAGTTTGCACTGCTGTGTTGCAAAGATAGAACCATTTGAACTTTATAAATTTCATAAAAGTGGAATGTATGGTATTCACTTCTTGGTTGCATAAAGGCATATAAAGTTTGGAGAAGTTGATTTCAAGTCAGAAATATCTGCAGCACAGAAAGAGGCCCTTTGACTCACTGGGTCTGTGCTGGTCAAAAGAAACCATTTAACTTTTCTAATCCCGTTTTCTGGCATTTGGCCTTGGCATCACAGGTGCACATTTAAACATTTCTTAAATGTTATGAGGGTTTCTGCTTCTATAGAGGTGAGTTCCAAATTCCCACCAAATTTCCCCTTGGTGAAAAAAGTTATTCTTCATGTCCACTCTAGACCTCCTGCTCTTTAATATACACCCTTTAAATTCAAATTTATATATCTATATATTTGATACTATAGGGGACTCTTTAGTTAGGAGAACGGCAAGTAGTAAAACAATGCTACTTGTGGCCATTAACATATCTCCAGGTTTGTTTGCCTTCTTGAGCAAAACTCAGATGTTACAGAATGGCTGTAGGATATTCTTCTGGGTGTTGGTGAACAGTTGGATGTTGTGGACTACATTGGTAAAGAAATAGGTAGGAAGGGGGTGATTTCTATATATTTTAATATCAATTATTTTGGATTTTTAGATTTTGGACTAGTGGCATGTGGGTTTTGTGAGCTAAAGCCTATCTTTTTTAAGCTGTGTTTGATAAGCCAATCCCTTATTCCCAGGAATCAGCCCACTGAATCTCATTTGAACTCCCTCCAATGCCAGTACATTCTTTCTTAAATTTGGAAACCAAAACTGTACACAGCACTCCACGTGTAATCTGTACAGTTGTAACACAGCTTCCCTGTTTTTAAACTTCAAACCCCAAGCATAAAAGGCCAAAATTCTGTTTGCCTTCTTAATTACTTGCTGTATCTATATCCAACTTCAAATATTTTCTGCACAAGAGCACCCAGATCTGTCTACTGCATGTGTTTGGAGTCTGTCTCCATTTAAATAATAGTCTGTTTTAATAACACTACATCCCCTCCTTTACTTTACTGTTTCAATTGTGTGTGTCCCAGACTGACCCCATTCTTAACAGTTCAATAATAGCTAAAGAGGCACTTGTAATGGTTTATCTACCCATACCCATACTTTAATCTCTGGAGTCTTCCTAGCTCTTATCTAAATGCAGGCCCTTGTCTTGTCTAAAAAATGCATCAGGTTCACATGCACAGCAGCTCTATTGACCTCTACAGTCTCATTGATTTTTATAAAAGTGCAAGATATTATTGGTGTTATTAGTGCACAGAGCAATTACTCCCCCACTACCCCACAATAAAGGACTCAGTTTTCAGCAAAGTTGACACGATCTGACATAGCAGGCTGTGAAATGCTGAAAGTATGATACACACAAAGCCATTACTGCAAGAGGTACTGTCTTCATGGAGTCTGTTGTACAGTTGTGGCTAAATATGAAGTGATTAAGAAAGTCTGTATATGTTCCAAATTTTGTTTTTTCTTTTTGTAAAGGAAGGAGGATTTCAAGGATTTTACAGAGGTCTAACTCCAACTATTATTGGCATGGCTCCTTATGCAGGTACTCAAGAGTTCAAAGAACGTGCACTTTTATTGTTACTACTTTTTTGTCAGCTGTGGTGATATTGAATAAATGTTTCTGTAAGGACTGAGGGCAATGGTATATTAAAACCTGCTGTCTCATCCTTTCACTTTCAATTCTGATATTAAATGGGCAGATCATCCTTCACTTCATTGCGAAGATTATTTTTATTCACTCGTGGGATGTATCACTCATAAGCCAACTTTTATTATCTACTATCCTAATGAGGAGCTTCTTCCTAATTGTCTTTGGTGGTAAGGCAGCTGAGTGGCTTGCTAAGGGAATTAAAAATCAGTTTATTGCTGTGTCAAGAGTAAAATTTAGGCCACACCAGGTAAAAATGACACCCTTAAAGGACAGTCTCCATGTTCAAAGATAGGCTGTAATCTTGCCTCCTCATAACCCCCTTGATCCATACATTGCTTTAATCAAAAATAAGTTAGAAATGTATTTTGTTTCTGTTTTCTATATCCATCATTTGTTTCAGATTTTACATTATTAAATATTAATTTCAGGAATTTCGTTCTTCACTTTTGGCACCTTGAAAAGTATTGGTCTCAGTCAGGCTCCTGGTATTCTTGGAAGGCCTTCATCTGACAATCCAAATGTTCTGGTTTTAAAAACCCACGTGAACTTGCTATGTGGTGGAATAGCAGGCGCATTTGCTCAAACAGTATCGTAAGTGTTCATCTGCATAACTGCGAGGAGAACAAAGGTCATGGCTATTCTGCTGCATTGTTATCATAGCAGACAATTATCTATCACTTATATTTGCTGTCATCATCTTCATCCAAAATTCCACATTTGTGTTTTAATCTTTCATGGGATGTGGGCTTCACTGATAAGTCCAATATTTGTTACCCATCCCTAATTGCCGTTAAACTGAATGGCATGCTATGATTTCGTTTCGGAGTTAACCACATTGCTGTAGATTTGGACTCTCATAGGAACAGGAGAAGGCCATTCAGCCCCTTTAGCCTGTTCTATCACTCAATGCGATCATGGCTGATTTTGTGTGGCCTAACTCCATATGCGTGCCTTGGTCATTGACGATATCCCCAGTTGCAGCCTTCAGTAGATCAATAGTACTCTTAACCAGCCACTTTCCTTTTACATAAGATCTCTCCTTATTGTCTTTTATGCCCTCTACAAGTTTCTTTTCATAATCATGTAGGTCAGATTGGATAAGGACAGCAGATTTCCTTCCCTAAAGGGCATTAGTGAATCTTATGGGTTTTACAACAATTGATGGTAGATTCATGAACAAAAACAAAGTTGCTCTGTTGTCCTTCTGAGGATGCGTCACCGGACGCGAAGTGTTAACTCTGTTCTGTCCTTCACAGATGCTGCCAGACCTGCTGAGCTTTTCCAGCAACTTTGTTTTCGTTCCTGATTTACAGAATCCGCAGTTCTTTTGGATTTTATTTGATGGTAGATTCATGCTCACTACGGAGACTAGCTTTATATTTTAGATTTAATTCATCACGTTTAAATTCCACTGGTTGTGGTTGGATTTGACCAAATGTTCCTGGACCGTTAGCCTGGGTGACTGGATTACTAGTCTGGTGACTTTATCACTACACTACCATCTCCCCAAGATTGGGACAGGTGATCTGTCTGTAACAGATTTGTGTGATGAGACTATAATAGGTCCCCATGATCAGATGGTCACGTATCTCATATTGAATTAGATCATGGAGGATTTGAATCCTAACACCATTTACCCTCCTTGTTTCTAAAACATTTAATATCCTAGCCTAACAAAAGTTTTTTAATCTCAGTTTTAAATTTGTAACAGCTTTTGTGAGGAACTTTCAAATGTCCAATGTCCCTTGGGTGAAGAAGTGCTTCCTGACATCACTCCTGAGCAGCCTAATTGTGAAGTGAAACCCCCATTGGTCTGGGCTGTCCCAACAGAGAAATTTGTTTCCTCTCTGTAACCTTTGATCTACCTTAAATATCTCAATTAGGCCGCTCCTTAAATCTCCTATTATCAAGGAAAAACAAATCTAGTCTAATTCAGTCAGCTCTGCAGCTGTGATATACTTCTATCCCTTTGTATTTTAACCCTGTTGAGCCTGTTTCATTTATTTTTCATTCCTGCCTCTTTGTTTTCACTGGCTTCTGTAATTTGATCCCTAAATTTCTCTGCTGATTCACAGTTATGATGTGGAGGTGCCAGTGTTGGACTGGGGTGGACAAAGTCAGAAATTACACAACACCAGGTTACATAACCTGTTGGACTATAACCTGGTGTCATGTGATTTCTGACTTCGTCCACAGTTAGGTCTTTCAGATCACCCACAGTTTCTAACTTCCAGCCTATTAGAAATATTACTTTTACATCTTCCTTGGGCTTGAAATGATTAATTTTGTCCTCTCCCACATTGAACTCTATGTGCTCTGGTCACATCTGTCAGTTTTCCTTTACAGTTTTCACTTCCTATCCAACTTGCTTGCTGGGCCAACCAACTTATTGATATCAGCAAACGCATGACTCAATGAAAAGCCATGGCCCCAGTACAGATGTCCAGTGGAAACCATTTGTCACGTTCAGTACAGACCCATTATCCCAACTCTGTCTCACCTATCTCCTAACCAATTCGCTATTCAAGCCAATAGTTTGACTTTGATTCCATTGTGCTCCCATTTCTGTTAAGTTTCTTATGCGAATTTGAGTTCACTGTCTTCTGCAGGTCCATATAAATAATATAGTCACTCCCATACCCACCAACTTTGTTGCTTTCCCAAAGAATTAACTCAGTTGGTTGGACACGACTAACTATTCACCTGTTACAAATCTGGAGTGAATCGTAGAATCCCTGCAGTGTGGAAGCGGGCCAATTGGCCCATTGAGTCGACACTTACTCTCCAAAGAGCATGCCGCCCAGACCTAACCCCCTACCCTATCCCCATAAGTCCTCATTTCCCATAACCTACACATCTTGGGACAATTTAGCATGGCCAATCCACCTAATGTGCACATCTTTGGAGTGTGGAGCACCCGAAGGAAACCCATATTGACTCCTTGCTGACTGTCTCATCAGTTCACTTTTGCTGAAATCACACTCACTTAAGGGTGCAATTCTTAAATTGGGAGAGAATGCTGGACACATTGGCCCAGATTTGGTCAGTGGGCGGGCATGGGCTTTAGGTGGTGGGCAAGGCTGAGGTGAAATTGTAAATTCATGGTGTACAGATTTTATCATTGATGTTTTTAAAGTTATCACTTGGAACATATTTTCAGAGAGGCTGTTGAATGTTGTTTTTGTTGTAGATACCCTTTAGATGTGGCTCGGAGGCGAATGCAGCTAGGCTCCATTCTGACTGAAGCTGATAAATGTGTGTAAGTACAACCTTTGGGTGTACAAAGATTTTTCTGGTAATGATGGGATTGTGATATGATAGTATCTCAACCTTCCTCTCTGCTGCACAATAAAGCAGCTGCTACATGTAAACTCTAATCTGTGACTAGAACACTGTTTAACTAACAGTGAAGGATTTGCAATAAAAAGCGTGTACAACTTAAAGGGTCAAGTGAAGTATATAAGTCACTAGAAACCATGTCCAAAACATTCAGTTTAAATCTGTGCAACCTCACAGGCTAGACCAGGCTCCCAGTACTTACCGATTTGGAATCTGTGTCAGTAAATGTCTAGAAGTGAGTGCAAGACCCTGGAAATGGTTATTTAAATACATTCTCCCTTTAGATAACCTCATGGAGACTTCATCTGCTTTCCTCTACTTTATAAACTGAGGTGATTCAGACAGTAACCCTATTATTCCTGTGCCATCCTACTCAATGATCACTCCCCTTAAATGTTGGCTATTATCCAGTGGACATTTTCTCGTGCTCTCTCTTGCTCACGCTTTCTCTCTCTTGCTGTCTCTATCTCTCTGTCTCTCGTGCTGTCTCTTTCTCTCTCACGCTGTCTGTGTCTCTCGCGCGCTGTGTCTCTCTCACGCTCTCTCACTTTCTCCCTCCTCCTGGGGAAAGGATGCCATGAATCAGGGGGCTGGACTCTTACCTGGGGTCAGCAGACAGGGACCCTGAGGTCAAACCCTCTCCCCGGGGTCAGCACACAGGGACCCAATGATTGGCACACAGTGATACTGGACATTTGTTGGATTAAAATTATTAATGTGCATTAATGAGTGCACCGTTTCTTCAGTAGTCTTAACCAGCTGGTTACTTCAACAAGAAAACTTAAATGATTTGTAACATTGTGTTTTCACGAGGAATAATTTCCTGTTTAATCTCTCTTACTCCATCAGATCAATGTGTAAAACTCTGAAATATGTCTATAAGGTGCATGGCATACAGAAAGGCCTCTACCGGGGACTCACCCTCAATTACATTCGCTGTATCCCATCTCAAGCAGTGGCATTTACCACTTATGAACTGATGAGACAAGTTCTTCATCTGAACTGAAGACATTTCAGGATGTTACCTGGACTATCAAATTCATGATTGCAATTTTTGTGATCGTCATCCATAAGAACATTTCTGCTATGGAGACTGCTCTGGTCTGATGCGGGAACTGCTGTCCTCTAATGTGGATACTAAACTGTTATTTATTTAATTGAGTAATTACTTGCAATTAAGACTGAAAGTCAGCATCAGTGTTCTCTGTGTTTCAGGTTTGTGAAAATTATTGCCATCCTATGCCACCTTTGCATTTCATTAGGCTAGGTAATCAATTTCGGCTCCTGCACCCCAGCTCTGAGGAGAGAGATGAGTCTAATATGGACTGAAAAAATTGGACCCACAGTTACTACTGTCAGTTTTCTAATACTTTATGTATGAATATTTTATTCTTGATCTGTTAATATTACATGTACACAAATATAACAAATCTGAGGCTTATTTTGCACACTCAATCACATATTTGATGAAAGTTCATTTTTAAATACTGTAAAACTTGTAATCTCTAGCAGTTGGTGTTCCAGTAAACTTTTGTGAATATTTGTAGATCTGACTTGAGATCAGTTGTGTTGGGAATAATTGTTCCGGTCAGTCCCTTTTCATCTGGATGGCAGTAGTAAACTTCTAGTGATTTGGATGTTGATGGGAATTTCTTCAGAATTTCCAAAGGAAAATATTGCATTTGATAGATTTGTCTTTCTCGTACCAACCCTATGTGTTCTACAGCAGTCATGACCTCCGATGTCCCTTTATCCAAATCATTCCAACATGTACCAAAGGCCTTGAGTGCAGGGCTCCACCCACAGCCATGCGCAGACCTTCATCTGTCAGATCTCTAGGTCCACTTGTTTGGAGGATTAGAATTGCCAGGGACTGGCACTGTTGACAAACAGACCATCTGTTCAACTGGTCCATGCCAGTTGTATATTGTCCACAAAAAGCAGGACAAATCCAACTGGCCAATTACCATCCTATCAGTCTACTCCCAATCAATAGGAAAGTGGTGGCAGTACTATCAAGCAGCATTTGCTTAGCAAACAATCTGCTCAGTGATGGCCAGTTTGGGTTCCGCAAGAGCCAATCACTGCATGACAACCAAAGCCTTGGTTCAAGCATGGACAAAAGAGCTGAATTCTGAAGATCAGGTGAGAGTGACAACCTTTGACTGAGTGGGAGGAGGAAAATTTACTCTTTACCACCATTAGCACCTCCTTCGTCTTTTCCTCGGAGCACCTTCACCATCTGTTCCACTCCTTTCAGTTTCATGTGATGTTTTCGATGCTGACTGTATCAGCTCAGCAGGTTCGGTTGCAGCAATGCTGAGATGGAATTTCACATTGGCCCTAGGTTCCTAAAACCTGAGGAGCTCACACCCCACAACCTGACCCACCTCACGGGAATGCCCTATGTGTCTTTCAACTTGGCATAGGGAAACTTTTTGAAGGGGCTGCTGCTGCACACCATCCATTTGAACTCCCATCTGCTGCCTGGACACGCCATGGCATTTTTACTGCCAGATGGTGGGTGTCTCCAGTGGAGGGCTCTATGCAGGAGTTTTCCCACTCCCTATCAGGGACCTGGGGTGGAGGGGGTTGCACATAGTACTCCCATGGAATCTCAGATTGCAGTGGTTCACAGTCGCCCAGCCAAACTGCTTGTTTCGTGGTTCTGTGAAGTCCACAGAATTACATTTATATTGGTAGGGGTGATTTCAAAAATCTTTATTGTGATTTTGGTTGCACTTCAGCCCCACACATCTGATTTTTTTGGTGTTGAATGTGGGTAAGTTGGAGGACCTTCTTGTGGGTCTAGTCCTGGTCCTGGCCAAGTTGGTGATTAGAACATAGAACACTACCGCCCAGGAACAGACCCTATTGCCCTCGATGTTGTGCTGAACATGACACCAAACTAAATTAATCCCTTCTGTCTGCCCTTGGTCCATATCCCTCTATTCCTTGCATATTCATTTATCTAAAAGGCCCTTAAACACTCCAATTGTATCTGCTTCCATCACTACTCCTGGCAGCTTGTTCCAGACACCTACCACTCTGTAAAAAAAAAAAGCTTGATGTTCACATCTCCTTTGAATTTCCCCCTCCCACTTTAAATGCATGCCCCCTAGTACTAGACATTCCAATTCTGAGAAAAAGAATCTGATGTCAACCCTATCTGTACCTCTCATAATTTTATAAACTTCTGTCAGGTCTCCCCTCAGCCTCTGCCACTCCAGAGAAAACAACCTGAATTTTTCTAGCCTCACTTTGTAGTGCATACCTTCTAATCCAGGCAGCATCCTGGTAAACATGTTTTGCTCCTTCTCCAAAGCCTCCATATCCTTCCTGTAATGTGGCGACCAGAATGAGGCCTAACTAAAGTCTTATAAAGGTGTAATATGACTCTTGTACTCAATTCCCCAACCAATAAAGGCAAGCATGCCGTATGCCTTCCTTACCATCCTATCTACTTGTTTGGCCACTGAACCCCAAGATCCCTCTGTACATCAATGCTATCAAGGATCCTGCCATTAACTGTGTACTTTCCCATAACATCGGATCTCCAAAGGTGAAAGACCACACACTTATCCAGATTAAACTCCCACCTGCCGTTTCTCTGCCCATATCTGCAATTGATCTATATCCTGCTGTGTCTTTTGACAACATTCTACACTATCCACAACTCCCCCAATCTTTGTGTCATTTGCAAACTTACTAACACATACATCTACGTTTTCATCCATTTATATGAATCTCAAACAGCAGAGGTCCCATTCCAATGCTGATGGACCTCCAGCCAGAAAAATACGTCCAGGCATAACACTGAGATTTTGCTATTTCTACCATCTGCACGTTGCAGAAACCTTGATTTAATAGTGACCTGGATGGCAGGTGAAAGAAACCACAAGGTAGACCTTTGCCATAAATACAAAGAGGCACTTGGTGTAGGTTTGGCAATTATAGCAGGTTTGTATGGTTTTACGTTACGGTCCAGAGAAGGTTGAACAGCCTTGAAATGAGCAACTTTTCTGTTTTCAGATCAAATTTTGACACTGAGAGTAGTTTGGAGTAGACTGTTGCAAACTGATAAATATTTGCAATTGACACTCTTTAAAGACTGTCCCGTTCCGTTAATCAATAATTCTCTGCTGTGGTTTCACCATATTGATCCTGGTGTGCACCACACATTAGGAAAGTCAGAATTCAGGCTTAAAGCCTTGTGATTAATTATTTATATGTCTGACCTGGCACCCTGACAGGGATTTCTTGGAATTAAAACCCAGAAATGAGAAGATATCCAGGAAAAATAGGGAAGATAAACTATCTTAACTCAGAAAATCACGAGATAGAAGTTGGGTGTAGATGTTGGTGCACAGACCCATCAATGGTAGCTGTAGTGAAGTTCAGGTATAAATCAGAAAATCAAACACACGTTTAGTTAGGGTATTACAGCAATTGTGGGGGACTTTAACCTTAAATAGACTAGGTAAACCAAATTTGCAATAACAGTGCGCAGAATGCACAATATTTTTCTAGATAAGTTTACTCAGGAAGCAACTAGGGAAACGGCTATTTTGGGACAAAAATTAACTCACAAAGAAGAGAATTAATAATCTTTGCTAAAGAATACTGCACTTATTATGATAGTACTTTATATAAATTTTGACAGATTGTGAAGTCAGATGCTAAATCTCAAAACAAAAAGCAAAGTATGAGGGGTGAGATTGCAAAGTTGGATTGAAAAAATACATAAGAAGTTATGTGCAATTCTGATGAAAGGTAATTGCCCAAAACATCAACTGTTTCTCTCTCTGTGAGGCTGTTAGACTTGCGGAGCATTTTGTTTTTATTAAAATGAGATTGTCAAAGAATGACTTGCACATAAATAACTACCTTGTAATTGGAAATGAAATTCCCAAGGCACCCAAACTCACAGTGACCTAATATGGTTAACAGGAATTAAAGATGATATTCTATCAAAATACAGCTGAAACATGTAGCATTTCACAATTCAACATAAGAAATTGATAAACAAATAAGCGAATGAACCAGCTGGAGATGTAAAATGGATTAAGGGGAGGCAATAGCCTAGTGGAATTATTGCTGGACTATTAATTCAACATGGTGCTCAGTTACGAGTGGTGTACTACAAGGATCTGTTCTGGGTTCTCTTCTATTTGTGATTGTTGTAAATGATTTGGCGTGGAAGGGTGCATTAGCAAGTTCGCAGACGATACGAAGGTGGGTTGCATTGTGGACAGTGCAGAGGGCTGTTCTGGGTTACAAAGGGAATTGATAGGATGCAGAGCTGGGCTAAGAAGTGGCAAATGGAGTTTAACCCTGAAAAGTGTGAGGTGATTCATTTTGGAAGGACAAACTTGAAAGCAGAATACAGGGTTAACGGAAAGATTCTTGGCAGTGTGGAGGAGCAGTGGGATCTTGGGGTTCATGTTCACAGTTCCCTGAAAGCTGCCACCCAGGTGGATAGAGTTGGTAAGAAGGCGTATGGTGTGTTAGCTTTCATTAATAGAAGGATTGAGTTCAAGAGCAGTGAAATTATGCTCCAGGTATACAAAAGCCTGGTTCAGCCACATCTGGAGTATTGTGTCCAGTTCTGGTTGCCTCATTACAGGAAAAATGTGGAATCATTGGAAAAGGTGCAGAGGAGATTTACCAGGATATTGCCTGGAATGGAGCGAAGGTCAAGCGAGGAAAGGTTGAGAGAGCTAGGGCTTTTCTCTTTAGAACGACGAAGGATGAAAGGTAACTTGATAGAGGTGTACAAAATGATCAGAGGTATAGATAGAGTGGACAGCCAGAGACTGGAAGTAGCTATTTCGAGGGGCATAGTTTTAAAGTGAGTGGAGGTAGATATAGGGGAGTCGTCAGAGGTAGGTTCTTTACTCAGAGAGTGGTCGGGGCGTGGAATCGGCCTCATTAGGGGCATTTAAGCGGCTACTAGATAGGCATATGGATGATAATATAAGGTAGGGGTGGAGGTTAGATAGACCTTAGGTTTGGGGTAAAAGTTCGGCACAACATTGTGAGCCGAAGGGCCTGTACTGTGCTATACTGTTCTATGTTCTAATCCAGAAACTCGGCTAATGTTTTAGGGACCCCGGTTCGGAACAAATCATGGTAGATGGTGGAATTTGAATTTTTTTTAAAAATCCAGAATTAAGAATCTACTGATGACTACAAAACCATTGTGATTGTCAGAAAAACCCATCTGGTGCACTAATGGTCTTCAGGGAAGGTAATCTGCCATCCTCACCTGGTCTGGCTTACATGTTACAGGGATAGGGTGGGGGTTGTTTCTGAATGAGATGTGCTTCAGAGATGGGCCAAAAGGCCTCTTTCAACACTGTTGGGATTCTGTGCAACTCCAGACCAACCACAATGTGGTTGACTCTCAAATACCCTCTGAAATGCTCTAGCAAGCAACTCAGTTGTATCAATCGCTACAAAGTCTCGAGAAAGAAATAAAACTGGACAGACCCCCCCACCATCGACCAATACAAAAGACATACGACAGAAATAGCTCAATTGACCCTTCAACGGCCT